ATTATGATCACAGTTTAGCGCCAAATAACCGTTTTCACAAACTGCAATGTTACATTTATCTCTTAGTTCACATTGGCAGTAAGTCGGACGCCTTCAGGGTGGGAGTTGGACGGGGTGGAATTTCTCGGTGCAGCCAGTGGGTGGAGGGAGTCCGATTCGGTGGCTTTGGGATTCTGTGTTATTTTCAGATGATGTCCTGTTGGCGTCATCGTGTCATATCCAGCTCTCCAGCTCCCAGAGGGAGCTGAAGATCCCAGCCGAGTGTGAAGCGGCTGGGATGAGGATCAGCACCTCCAAATCTGACTCCATTGTCCTCAGCCAGAAAAGGAAGGATTGCTCTCTCTGGGTCGGGGGTAAAGTTCTGCCTCTAGAGGAGTTTAAGTGTCTTGGGATTTTGTTCACAAGTGAGAGAAGAATGTGAGATTGATAGATGGATCGATGCTGCTTCTGCAGTATTGTGGACTATGTACYGGTCTGTTGTGATGTAAGGCAAAGCTCTTTGTTTACCAATCAGTCTACGTTTCTACCCTCATCTATGGCCAAAAGAACAAGATCGCRGATCCAGACGGTCAAAATAAGTTTTCTTTTCAGGATAGCTTGACCCTCCCTAAGAGAAAGGGTGAGAAGTTTATTTATCCAGGAGAGACTCAGTTGAACCTACAAGTTTATCAAGAACCCTGAGGTCCTCAGTGGACATTTCTGATGTTTAATTTAGGAAAACTGATGAGATAAAGAGGTACAGTTTCATCTGAATGTTTGACCTCCTGAGAGAGAAAGTTGTCATCTGTCACGATCAATTCTTCATGGCAAACGACAGAGCCCGATACGACTTCCTCTCTCTGGAAATAAATGCCACACAACCTATGTAACTCATTATCTGCTCCCAAACCTGCTTCCACTCAAAGCTCTGTGTGTGTGCGATCCACAGATTGACAACCAGCTTTTAAACTGGATCAATCTTTGAAAACAGACGACAAAAATCCATGAGCGTCCCCCTGGCTCTCCGCTGTTCCCTCTAATCCTCTGCTTGGAGATCTCTATCAACACACTGATGTTTGGTTTCCTCCAGGTCACATGCGGTTTGGATCTTCCTGCGCAGGATGTTTAATCAGGGATAAGGGACATTGTTTTTTCTGCTTTTAATAGGCTATGAAAGGTTGATTATTAAATGGGAACAAATGGTGGAGATTTGTGGGCATCCCAGATGTTTGGGGAACATTTAAAACCAGCTTCACTCAAGAGAGGAAAGACCAGATGTAGTTTTAGTTTKATCATACCTGTCAGGAAACGTCCTTTTTGTTTCCTCTTTAATTGAAATTTCAACCCTTATATCTTTTTTTTTTTCGGAGAACAGATGGTGTTAATTTAGAGAGGGTAAAGTTTAAACTTGATGTTTTTAGATGTATGTACTTACCATGTCTGGTGGGTGTGGAGGCAGCAGTAGGGTGGCTCCACTCACTCCAGATTCCAGGTTTCCTGGAGCCAAAGATCCCCACAGGGTTGCACCTCACCTGGACAAAATAGACGGTTCCGGGCTTGAGGCCCGCCAGCCGACAGGACGTCAGATTTCCAACATCATCCACCACCTGAGAGGGAATTTAACAGTGAAGAGACGAGCGAAATGCCTCAATACCATATATTGGTGGGTCGAGTTTTATCCATAAATACTGTATATGATTTAAAAAGAATCAACAGCATTAGGGCTCAAAATACCTTCACAATTCTATATAGATTTATTTTATATATAATGTATGTCTTATCTCAGCTTTATCTGCTTTTATCTTGGATTTTAGTTGGTTAGTCCTGAACAGAGAATCCAAATTCCCCAAACAGGCATTTTTTAAATGAATGAACTCAAGAAATAATTAAACGCTTTGTCTWGAACACATCAAAGAGTCAGTTTGGAGAAAAGATCAAAGTTAGTATTTAAAAGGTATAAATGCCCCATATGAATAAAAGATTTAAGATTTCCACGGCAGCAGAGACGATGTGTGTGTTTGTCCCACCCTCCAGTTTGCGCCGTCCTCCAGTCTGTAACGGATCTGATATTTGGCCTGAAACAGGATGTCTTTCAGCCCGGGTGGGCTGGTCCATCGGACCTTCAGCTGGTCCTCGAGGCTGCCAACACGACTCACCTGCACATCAGCAGGAGGGTCTGTGGTCACTGCATAGATAAAAGGAAGACCTCTGAGTGGGACCTGAAACAGATGAAACCCCTGATAACAAGTAAAAGCAGTGTACTTGTGTTTACATTCTTTGGTTTAAAAAAGTGCCTATAACAAAGTTTTTATTGTAGTTATCAAAATAAATTCCAACATTGACAAATACAAAAGTCTGCATGCATAAAATCCATCTTTATATTTCTGTTACTGCAGCTCATTATTTTTGAAAACAATGAAAAGCAGCAGAATCATTTCTTAGTTTGTTTGAAAATTAAACAAATATGGTATTTTTTGTTGAATTTATCCTAAACTAAGTTATTTATCAAAAGCACACAATTTTAAATAAAAAAACTTAAACCTTTGCTAATGTTCTGTTATAAAACTGCATGAGGAAAGGAGGTTTTAACATCTTGATTTTAGTGGCTGTGGGAGCATGCTGTACTTTCTTCAGAACTAAATAAAACATCTGTCAACTGCAATGAACTGCTTTGAAGGACAAAAACACGAGAGACAAATAAGGAACCAATTAATAAACCTATAAAATATCGTAAAAATGTCTCCGGTACTGCTTCCACTGCTTACCACACACACACACACACACACACACACACAC